CATGGCCGACCCGCGGGTCAGCGGGTCAGCGCAACCCGTCGCGTTGTTTTGACCCCCAGACGTGTTTTTCGACGATTTTAACGGTTTTCTCAAGATCTTTTCAGTTCTAGAGGTTCCCAACTGACTTGATATCATCTACAAATGTGGTTAGGTCGTTATTGACTGAAGATAAGGCCAAATCACTCATTCTCATCCACAAACCCGCATCCGGAGCCCTATAAATACAAGCCTAGGGCCTCCTTTCAGCGGGGGGAATTAATTATCAAGAGGAGGAGGTTCTGCCGGATTGATGAGTCAAAGGAGCACGAATTTCAGCGAGGGTTAGTGAGATCCCGACGAACTCCAGCATAAAGAAGGAGCTATTCGAAGGATCTGAAGCCCGATTCCACCCTTCCTTGAGATCAGGCTTGGTCTTGATCTCGAGAAGAGTTCTGATTTCGCTTGGTCGATCTCAGCGCTTCAAATCAAACACTACCTCGGTGAAGGCGAAGCTCTGCGGAATTTTTCATCAACCGGATCCACAGATCTAAGGTGGTCCACGGATATTAACATCCCCAACACAGGCAAAGACACCCACGCAAGCAGAAGACCGATAAACGATCTCCCTGCGTTTGTTTGATAAAGTTGTAAACTTGTTTTATTTTCATTGTGTAAGGAGATCTTATAAAAAGATCAACTTTTTATTTTATTCAAGTTTATTGTAATGACTAAATTTGTAATAGATTTAATAGCAATGAAAATAGTAATTTTCGACGCAAACAAACTGGCGACCACAGTGGGAGCCAACAGTTTCGCTGCCGGAGCTGTCGTGTCGCAACCTCGGATCTGCATCCCGGTTGAAGAAGTGGTCGAATACGAGTTCGACCAACTGAAGTTCGAGGAGTATCTGTCGTCATCCTCCTCCAGACCCTCCGCCTCTCGCAAGCGAAGGAAGATCAATGCCCCCGTTGCTGCGGTAGCTGAACCTTGCAACGCCCTTCCGGCCTCTAACGAGTCCGGATCTATAGATCTGAACTCCTCCTCAATCAAGGAGTTGAGTACAGAAGGCGCGCCCACTTTATCGAAGAGAGATCGCCAAAGGCAGCGCCAATGCCTTGTGTGCCAACTCGTTAGGGCTTTGGAATCAATTGACGGGATCCGTTACGAGGCGGATTTGAAAATTAGGCAATGGCAAGTGCCCCAACAGTGGACAAATGCCCTCTCCTCCGAATCACCGACAAGTGAATGGATCCAAGTCAAAAGGATCCGTTCAACTCTGGAGGAACAAATCCAAAAGCGCCGCACACTGCTTGCACATGCGCGAATTCTTACGCAAAAGGCTAAAAGATTGCAGAGGGAAGAAGTGGAAAAGAAGTCACAAAAATTGCACAAAGTTTGGAGGCCAAAGTCCAAGACGACGGTCGAAAAAATCGAGAATCGTGGGTCACTTGGATCCGACCCTCCAAACCATGGGTCACTCAAATCCGACCCGCCAAATCGCGGGTCACTCGAATCCGACCCGCTAAAACGCAGGTCACTCGAATCCGACCCGGCTGGTTACTTGGATCCGACTCTCTACTTTGCAGGTCACTTGGATTCGACCCTCTACTTTGCAGGTCACTTGGATCCGACCCTCCACTTTGTGGGTCACCCAAATCCGACCCTTCACTTTGTGGGTCACCTGGATCCGACCCTCCAACCCACGGGTCACTCAAGTCTGACTCGCGCCAGGGTAAAGACAGAAGACGTTATGCACATGTTTCGTCGATCCCTTCAAGTTCCTCACCTTCAGTGGAGCCCCGCGACAACGTGGATTTGTCCCGATTCAAAGTGAGGATGGTCGATCGCCTGGGTCCTTTGCACGAGGATCGAGACAAAGTTCTGATCGAAGAACGCTTGAGTCTGGTGATTGAACTCCGAGTGACTCGTCGAGCTGGGGGTCGCACACGCCCTTGCAACAATTTCAAACTTTCTCATAAAGGGAAAACTCCGGTTTCCACCTGCCTGGGGGTGTGCATCCAAAACCAGGAGCCTGTTGAGATCCTACGCTCCCAAAAGCGTAGTTCTAAACATGTGACTCTTGAGAACGCTAATAAAGCGGTAAATCCCATGAAAGAAACGTATTCATCTAACGATGACAACATCATACCAGGGGAGTCGTGTCAACCCGATAGGTTGCCCCGGTCATCTGACCGATGAGTTGTATTATCGGGCGAGGGGTACGAACAAATCTCGAAAGAGAAGTACCCGGAAAGCGGACCCTCACTGTCCGTGTGCTAAGATTATCAGGGCAGTATTATCAGCGTGTAGCTGCCCCAAGGGTCTCGGTATTCGAGAGGATCTCCAACGGAATAGCTAAGTCCAAACCAAAGCGTCTCCGTAAGAAGCGATCGGCTGTTCATGATAACGAACTTCCAAAAGTCACAATTAACATGGCTGATAAGGGAAAGTCGATTCGACCTTCTAGTTCTGACCCTCTCGTATCGCATCGTCTGACTCGGCTACGCGTAGGGACCACTAGACGTAGGGACTACCAGAGAATGCAGAGAGGTTTATCATCGGATGATGAAGTATCAGATGCTAACTCGGCAATCGCTTCTGATAATACGGTATCCAGTCCGGGACAATCTCGCGAAGTGTTCATGATCAACACCGAGCAGATCGCCAAAATTCTCAAGGATGCTCTAACCAAGCAGAAAGAGGCATTCAAGTTCGAAATGGAAACGGCTATGCGGCGGATGAGGGAAGAACATGACCAACAAATCCGAGCTTTGTCGAATCAAATTGGTGAATCCAGCCGTCGCAACACTGCTAACCAAGCAAATAGCGATTCAGATGTGGATGAGCGTCTTAATCCTGATAACCCTCCCTTTGACCAAAACACTGGGGGTGACTCCACTAAAGATAACAACGTTGGGGGTGGTTCCACCGAAGATGACAATGCCGGGGGTGGCCGCGTTATTCCTCTTTCAAATCGTCCGAGGCCCGACACGAGTGAGGATGAGAAAATGAAAGATCTCGAGAGCAAAATCAACGCTCTAATGTCTGCTCGAGAGGTGAAAAGGACCGGCATTCTATGTCCCTATCCAAGAGAATGGGATTCGATCCCGTATCCGACGAAGTTCAACCTGATTAACTTCACGCCGTTTGACGGGAAGGGTTCGCCCACACAACATCTGATCTACTTAAAGTCCCACTTGGGCATGATCTCCGGCAATGAAGCCTTGATGGTTCGGTCATTCGTTGGTACCCTTCGTGAGCCGGCCTTTGATTGGTACCGCCGTCTCAAGCCCGGAAGTATTAACAACTGAGACGATATGGAGAGCTCATTCCTCGGCAATTTCTTTAACAACAACGATGATGTATCCATCAGGACACTCTTCGATGAGAAGCAAGAAGATGATGAGATAGTCGACGACTTCGTCAAGCGCTTTCGGAATAAAGCAATGAACTGCCGAGATCCGGTCACGGAGGACTTCATCCTCCAGACATGTCATAACAACCTATCTATTGAGATATTAGAAGTTATGGGAGTCGCATCGTCTAACATTTGGAAAGACTTGAAGGTGTGCGGTGAACAAGCCGAACGCTTACTCCGAAGGAGGAAGGCCGAGAGGAGCCAACCGACGGCTAATTCTCCGAAATCAAATTTCGCCTCCCGTAGTAAAGGGAAAACACTTGCAGCAGCTATTGACGCCAATCAGATGTCGCAACAGCAACCCCGAAGACAGCAGAAGACTTCGGGTTCAAGACCCCAAAAAGAGTACTCCTTCAAGGATGAAGATGTTCCAGCCATTTTCGAGTCCCTCCTTGAAAACAATAAGATCAAGCTGCCACCTGTCGTAAATCAGGAGGAAGCTGATAACACTGCGGATCCGAAATACTGTGCGTACCACAGGAGGATCTTTCATCCCACCAAGGATTGCTTTGCGCTCAAAAATAGCATCCAAACCTTGGTTGAAGCCGGTGTTATATCGCTCAATTGAGACGAATGAACACTCCAACAAGTATAAGAGTATAAACTGCTTCTCAAAACTCCAACCGGTATATGAGTCTAAACTGTTTCCTTTCTTTCACGGGGAGTTCCTGGAGAATTTTTACACGTAATATTCTTAAGGATAACCCGATCATGTAACTCAGTATAATGTTAGACCCAGTTTCACGAAGGAAGCTGGGGGTGGATGATTCATGTAACGGGAAGTTCTCGGAAGAATGTTACATGTAATTTTCTTAGGGATAACCCGATCATTACGAATAAAGTGATAAACACTAAATCCACTTTGATTTCCGAACACTCTCTTGCTGAGATGAGATTCGATCACTTCCACTACAACAGACAGGTCTTTTAGCGACCAAATTTTTTGCGAGAAAATTATTTTCCTCAACAAATATCACTTTTGACGAGGAAAATATTATTTCCTCGGTAAATATCAGTAGGTCTTCTACGAGGAATATATTTTCCTCACAGTAGACCACCTTCTACGATGAAAATTTTAGTTCCTCTCTAAAGATGATAATGATTTGGTCTCCTAACTAGTTATTTTATTGGCGAGGAAATATGAGATTTTGGTGATGAACTTTTTCATCGTGAAATGCACATTTAACGAGGAAATAATCATTTCATTGCTATTCATTTGGCGGAAAATAGAGGAAAACCCGCTAAATGTAACAGCGACAAAGTATGATTTCCTCGCTGAAGATCCATAATCAGCGAGGAACCGTTTTCTCATCGAAAGAATCAATTAGCGAAGAAATAATAGTTTCCTCATTATTAGTTTGACGAGAAAAAAAACCTCACCAATTTCAATGGAGACAATTTTAAGGCTTCCTCGCTAAAAGTTTTTGTTTTTACGAGGAACCATTTCCTCGTTAAAAAGAACCTATTAGCGAGGAAATTATAGTTTCCTCACTATTAATTTGGCGGAAAAATTTACAACTCCCGCCAAATTCATTGACGGCAAATTAAAGGTTTACTGACTAAAATTTTTGTTTTACGAGGAACTGTTCTCGGACTTGAGAAACTAAATATATTATCCTCGCTACTATTAGCCGGAATTGAATTTAGTCTCAGTATGTGATCATAAACTTGTTTGGCGGTTCCATCAAGTGCTTGACTAAATGGAATATCCGCGCGAAATCATTTTAATATGATAACGCAGCACTAGGTTTAAGCCATTATCGCCTAAGTTTTTTCTTTTATATCTAGTGAACCGGCATTGTTTGTGTCTATACAATAAGAAAAAATGACTCTTATTTCCTCGTTAAATGTGCATTTCACTGTGAAGTAGGAAATAAATAGGTTTCTTATCTCATATCAAAATTCTGTACATCAAGTAATCATCTACTGCAGCACAATAAATACTGTTACGCGGCGAGAATCTCCAATCATTTGATACCTTAGCAAAAGTTGAAATTTCAGGGAGCACTATATTAATTATTGTTCATCGGAGATAAGCGCACTGTGCTCGTCGTTTAAATAAGTGATAGGAATAATCTACCTTTACGTAGAAATAGAAACGCTTCTTCATCATTTGCGTATGTGATACTTTTTCTCGTAAAGTGGCGTAATTTAAAGATTATGTGCAAAGGAAAATCTCAATTTCCAAACTCTCCGACTAAATATTTAGATGTCCCTAAAAGACTCCTCATACTAAAAGATTTATTGTTGCGTGGAAGTTATCGAATTGTGATCAGAAAATTATCCTTTGTTAAAAATCCAAGCAGAGTAGTGCTGTCAGAGAATACATAAATATACCCATGTTATTCGGATTTGTTGCAAAAATTTGGTGGGAAATTTGGGTAAAAAAAGTAGGCGGTCAGTGTTAGTACCTCTTATATAGGATATACGATGAAATATGGAGGTGTACTTCCCTAAGGAAATACCTCATGAAATTCGTTCAAAATTCCTATACTAATCATCACCCACGATACCACTATTCATATGTCGAAATAGTACAGGTCAGACCAATCGGGGGTCCCTAATATTTCATTTTTTATATTCTGTGAAATGATATTGTCATCAGCAACTGATCGGGTGGTATATCACAATCTAGTCTAGTAATGGATAGATAATTAAGATGTTAAAATTTTTTTTGGTCTCTGTCTAGGTATGAGCTCCTCCCTCGTGAAAGAAATTTTGACAAACGATATTAGCCTCAATGAATTACAGCTAGAGCCAGTTTTAATTTTATTCAGGTTAGAGAGAGCATCCAATTCCTAAATGATTCTCACAATATGATAAGATTTAACAATTTAATATTTTTGTTTAAAATACATTAGTTTCATTCTTGTTGAAATTCAATTTTGTAGATCTATCGAAATAATAATATTGACTTCTAAAAACTGATTATAAACCAAACGTCAATGAATCTTTATTCTATTTGCATTAAGTATTACACCGGCTTATAACAAGGTTGGATGTTATTGGTGACCATTCTTCGGATATCAATGAGAATCGCTATGTGCTGTGTGATAAACTATTTTGCAATTGAGCGCAATTCTAATCTTAAGGTGGGATGAATATAATACTTTGACTGTTCTAGTCTGTCTTCGTAAGAGTACTTCGAGGTTTTGGTTAATCCTCACTTAGTAGAAGATACATTCAAACTGACGTAGCTATATCCTAGATTTTACGTCCATCTAGATGCGGGTGACTAGCACCGTTAGAAATTTATTGTTTGCAAGGCATGAGAGATCTCGAGATAATGGTCCTCTAATACTCGTTATCCGGGAAGGTGATTCTACGAGAAGTATCTTACTTTTGGAGGTCTTGAACCGAAGTCTCTCTGTCCATATCGCAAGGTTTCTATCGGTTAGAATTCTTTAAAAACTAATAAAACATAAGCTATTGCACGTCTAATACGACCTAGTTCACAAGCTTTTGCCACATAGTCTCTACGACGAGAAAGGAGCCATATTAATTCTACGTATGTATTCGTTAGAAGAATATATGACGAGAAATCAAAGATTGCGCTATACCTCCTCAGCGCGCCACCTTCTCCTTCCGGGTAAGCGTTCGGCGTTGTCTCACCTGTCAACCTAATATAAGTTCTCACGTACCCATCGGCGAATGCGAAAACTTTCCCCTCCCTATAATTCTGAATACTCTTAGGATAGAAGTATTCTCCTCCTTCCCAATCCCCCTACAACTCACTGTCGGAGCGAATAAGATACTGTCCCTCTCCTTCTGACAACGATGGACTCTCCCGCCTCATTTCTTTTACTCCACGGAAAGCGCTGACCGAAGTCCTCGCCCTCTCGACCTATCTCGCATCATCTTGCTGTGATTATTACAATCCCAGCCCAGTGTCCCCCCTTCTCTCTCCGACCCACCCCGCCGACCCCTCGACGGAATCGCCTCGAGAAAGCCCTCGTTCTTCCTTTGCTCGCCCTTTCCGCTCCTCTTTCTCCTTCGGCAAGCCCCTCAATTTCTCCGTTTCCAATCTCTCTATCGCCGCCGCCGCCGCTTCAAAACCCTTGACCGTCATCGCCTCCTCCAAGAAGGCCGTTGCCGTACTCAAGGGGAACTCCGAGGTCGAGGGCGTCGTCACTCTCCTTCAAGAAGACGATGATTATTTGCTCCCCTTGTCTTTTGATTTTCGCTGCTCAAAGTTTGGATTTTGATCAATGATTTATCGCATTTCACGGATTGAACTAGTGTACCACATAGTATTAACGAGCGATCAAAAGTTTTTTTTCTTATTGCTGCTTATGGAATCATTATCTCGAAATGCAATTTTTGCATTTTTTTTTCATGTTAAATTAGCCAATTAGAGAAAAAGAATCTATTCTAGAGAAGGGAGTTACATAACATCAACACGCTGATGTTCGCGGGGAAAATCGTAGGTTTCTTTGTTATTGATTCCATTGTCATCTTGAGTTACAACTTTTTGAGTTACAAAAGATCCGGTCTTTTTATAAGATCCGGTTACAACGAAAATCAAATAAAAATAAACAAAGATTACAACTTTTCTTGTTTTGCGGTCGCTCGCTTTGTGGGTTCTTTGCCTGCGCCGGGGTTGTTTGCCGTGGACCACCGCGCGATCTAGATCCGGTCGGATCTACGCAGTACAACGGGTATTATTTCACCAAGGAAATAATAGCCGGGGAGGATTGTTTCACTAAGGAAACAATCGTCCAAGTCTCGGGATCTAAGACCAAGCTTAGATCCGGAGTGTAGCAACGTAGATCTGAGATCCGGTCCTCTCGAACTCCTGCCTTATTTGGCGTTGATGATCGTCGAGCACCAGATCTGGATATGATCGCCGAGCACCAGATCTGAAGGAGTGAGTCCCCGAAGTCCCAAAGTTTCAATCTTTTTTAAGTTCCGAGTCTCCAATCCAGCAGGGCTTCGCCTCTCCAAAATTTCCAACCCTTCAAATGAACCAAGGCCTAGCCTATTTATAGGCACTCAGATCTGTGCCTAGGCACAGATCTGGGCCGGCCACCTCAGGGTGGCTCGGCTCTGGGCCGAGCCACCCTGGGGTGGCTCGGCCTTGGCCGAGCCACCTTGAGGTGGCTCGGCCTTGGCCGAGCCACCTTGAGGTGGCTCGGCCTTGGCCGAGCCACCTTGAGGTGGCTCGGCCTTGGCCGAGCCACCT